CCTACGCATATAAAAATCAATCTATCATCCTTTTTAAAAAGAGAGAATTCTTTCAGATTAAACTTCAATACTCATTTCATGAGGGACAGCCGTCTTTTTGAAATAAATTGTGTTCAAGCTACCTAACTCTACATGAAATGCCTGTATCGCTTAATCAGAAGGCCCTGAGCATTTACTTTAAAAGTGTAGTGTTTACTTGGGTACTTTTCAGTCCTATTCAATGAGGCTTTGTTACTTGGGGGATCCTAGATAGTTAACTGTAGAAGATAAGTAATTATTGTGCACAAATACATTTTGTATGCATTAAATTAGTCATAATTTTTGTTGAATTGTGGTATATGAGTATATAATTTACTTGTATTTTGCTTGACTCAGAGCAAAAATAATAGTACGAATAGTGAGCATCAAGCACTTCTATGCCATATCTCCTCATCTCTTTTGCAATCTAGACAGCCTTGATAGGTTCATACATGGTGCGTACATTCCATATCAGCATCCTCACTTTCGCTTTCATCGAGGAAGACGCATCGGCCGACTAGCTTCCCGAAGGCTTTCACCAACTAGCGTCATTTCGTCTCTCCGATTCCAGCAAGGAATAAGTTTGTTTTTATTTTTGTATTTTCTTTGTGCTTCGAAGTTTCTTGAGGGATTGGATTGGTTTTCCGGGGTAGGGCTGCTAGCCATGCCCAACCTTCCCTCTCTTTATCCGGGCTTAGGATCAGCTAGTAACTAGTGACCTATTTATATAAGTATATAATTTACTGTATTTTGCTTGACTCAGAGCAAAAATAGTAGTAAGAACAATGAGCATCAGTATTTCTCTTATATTGAGATAGTCAATTACATTCCGCTATTTTTGGGAAAATAACTTTTCCAGGCAAAATACTGGTCATTTCAGCAGTTGTTAGGGTCCCCTTTGAAGTCATTCAAGTCGAGTGATTAGATTGAGACTATGTCATAAAGGAATCATTCAACTCTTCATATGACAAGCTTTTCATCCATATTAATGTCTTTTTTCAAGTTAAGCGAAATTCACCAACAATGAATCAAAAGAAATAAACATATTCGAACTCTTGTCAATTTCAATATATCTGTTAAATTATTTTCAAGAGTGTTTATTGAAAAAAAATTAGTAACCATCAGATGATCAACATACATGATTAAACTTTGTGTAAATTACTCTGTTTGAAAATTCTAGTCTTTGGAAGGTAAGGTACTCTTATAAAAATTAAATAAGGTTTTAATCCCTTATAATGTATGACATTAAAAGAGTGAAAAATGAACACTTCAAAATCTTACTGGATATGTAATCTCAATCATATATACAGATTATTGATGAAAGAAATTATCGAGATTTGTTGATAGTATGATATAATCAAGTAATGTTTATTATTTTGGAGGGAGTATCGTGTTCAAATATTGCATAAAAATGAACTAATACTGAATTCATATACATATACAAATTCATATAAACTGTATGAGATTGTTTGCTACATAATTGTCTGATTTGCTGAATACAGCATTGTATCAAGTATTAGTGATATTTATGTTTGGATATTTCAGAGTTGTCACCTTTGTGTAAATGTACTGTTCAGACTAGGTTCGGAAACTACACCCATTTGTAAAAGACAGATGTTTTGACATTTACTAACTTGTATCATCTGTGGTGCCGGTGAGATATCAAAGATGGGTATATTGTGATGCTGTCCATCCTATCCTATGAGACATGGCCGTTTTAAGAAGAAGTCATGAAGTGGTTACAGGGTTTTCATCACAAATGTCTTGTATCGTTGCTCGCGTTTAATGGAATCACCGTGTTAGTAATGTCAAGACCACGAGAAGGGTACTAGACAAGGAAGCAAGTCATTGAATGAGGTTATGAACCTTCATCGACCGAGATGGCTTGGATATCTGTTACATATGCTGAGTCACCGCCTACTATGACATGCCATGCCAGAAAAAGTTGGATTAATTTGGAATAAAGCTCACGGCGGCCCAACCGAGATGGATTAACTGAGCATAAAGTCTCTGTCTGGTGGTCGGAGCCATGTAGAGAGATCTAGACCGCTTGGTTAGGGTCATCAAGACGAATCAGAGTTTGTGAACTCTTGGAGACATGACTGAAAATCGATCACAATGGCTTAGATGTATTCACTTGTGGACATCTTCTAAAGCTTGAATTTTGAACTAACGGTAATCTTCAGATTGTTTATTCTCTCTCGTTCTAATTTGTCTACTTTGATAGCAACTTGAATGGATGTATTGCTTGCAAGGTTCCACGTTGATTTTTTCTATCTGCCTGTTTGACTAAGAGACAGGTGTGCACTTAAAATGTCCCTAGTTCGAGTCTGATTAATATATCAACTGATTTATTGGTGATAAGCTGACATGGTTCTTGTTTCATAATCATTTTTTAAAGTTTTTTTCTGCAAAATAATGGAAAACTTTTCAGTCTATTGTGCAAACTACCAAGTGTAATATATATTATTAACCGATGGAAACCAGTAGAAAGCTAAACGGTAGGCAATGAAGTCTAGTTACTATACAGTTTAGAATTAGAATCTAATCCTATTACAGAATTAGCTAAAAACAGATTGTTTTTGTTGACATTTACCACCCCATTACATAATAGAGGTTGAAATACATTAGAAAAGTATGAATTTTGTCAGAAAGTGACAATTCACAGAATGAAAATTTCAAATTTACCGTTTCTCATAATAATTTTTACAATAATCTGTAATTGATACCTTGTTTTGTATATGATTCATTTATCGTTTTGGTTTTTTGATCAGTGTACATTTTGTTGCAAATGTGTTTTATTAACATATTTGTACACCATCTGATTGTTGGATGACTTGGGTCTAATATCACACAAACTGGAAGATCTACAGTCAAAAACTAACAAGTTGACAGAAGAAACAGAGAAGCGAAAACGCGACTTCAAGTGAATGTAGAGAAGACATAGGTGATGAATATACCCAACCAACAACAGCAACAACAACAAGCAACAATCATTATCAACAGGAGAGATGCAAAGGAAGTAGCCTCTTTCACTTCAAATTCAGGCGGCACGGACGAGGATGTCAGAGCCAGGATCGGAAAAGCAAGACAGGCATTCACTAGCCTGAAACCAATCAGTGTGGAGGTCCACTGCACTCAGCACAAGCCATGAACAACATCCGGATTTTCAACACAACTCAGTCAAGTCAGTGCTTATGTATGGCTCAGAGACTTGGCGTGTCACGAAAAGCACTTCCAACAAACTACAGACATTCATCAACAACTGCCTACGCTGGCTCGTTACTGAACATCAGATGGCCAGAATGATAAGAATAAGTAACAAGCAACTCTGACCTGGCAACGAACCAACGAAGCAAGAACCTATCACCCAACAAATATGCAGTAGAAGAAAGTGGAGACGGGTTGGGCATGCACTGAGAAGGCCGATTGTGGACATCACGCGCCAGGCCATGCTGTCGAGTGGAACTCAGATGGGAAGTGAGGAGTTGGGCGTGCCTGCTGAGGGTTACATGGAGGAGATCGTGTGATGAAGAAACGAAAGCTTGTGGGCAGTTGTGGCACCAGGTTGAAAAGACTGCAGAGAACAGAGTGCAGTGAAGACGTGCTATTGAAGCCCTATGTTCTGTTAGGAATCCAAGGGACAAATAATAATAACTCTGATTGTTGGTGGGACAAAACCATTTCATTAGTTGACTCTCACTGTGTGCTATCCTTAATCTCAATGAGATTGAACTATACATAAAGTTAAGTCAACCATATAGATTGAGTAAGTCACTTCAGATTGTTCCAAGTCGTGTGATAACGGGTTTATTATAGATACATCCTTATGTGACTGATATCCATTGTTTGTTTATATGAATTATAAAGTAGTAATAGCAAAGTTGGAACGTATACTTTCTATAAAAGGTGGATCTTTTATTTTTGAGATGAATGGGGATTTTTTTAATTTAGAAGTAGTATTCATCATGGACTGACATCAGTTAGGGAACCACTGAAAATCTGGGAGCACCGGACAGCTTTTTCGTCCTAGTATGGGACTCCTCAGCAGTACGCACCCACGACTCGAATAGGGATTGAACTCAGGACCTTCAGGTTTTACGGCGAACGCGTTAACCCTTCAGTCACTGGGTCGGTTTTCAGTGGTTGACAATTTCCAACTTCTGTCAATTCACGACATAGCGTGACTATCACCCTCGGTCTTCAGTTAGCATCCGCTTAACATCCGACTGGCTGACGCCACAGGTCACGGCTTCTCATTAGAGCTTCATGATATCCATCTGGAAGCAAGTCACTAATGAGCACTATACAGTAACGTATTTTTGAGATGAATGGGGACTTTTTAATTTAGACGTAGTATTCATCATGGACTGACATCAGTTAGGGAACCATTGGAACCTGAAGGTCATGAGTTCGATCCCTAGCTGGATCGTGGATGCGTACTGCTGAGGATTCCCATACTAGGACGAGTCAGCTGTCCAGTGCTCCCAGATTTTCAGTGGTTCCCTAACTGATGTCAGTCCATGATAAATATTACTTCTGATTCTTTTATTTGTTTGATTCGAGATGAAATGGAAATCTAAACCATGTTGGGATACGAACCAGCGACCACGGGCTTTCCCACTAGGTATTTTTCTAACTGAGTTACGAGATCCGACTCCTTTTGACAAGATTTTATTTGGATTCAATTATCAAGAGATTTTATAAACATCTAGACTATAGTTCAAAGAAATCTTGTTTTCGGTTTTCTAAACACGCTGAGATTTTACTAAAACTTACCTATATAATAATGGATCAAGGGTTTTTATTTGTTTATATGCTGTAATGTAAACAATAATATCAATCCAGTATCTTCAGTGATTACTTTTTATAAAATTTGATATTTTAGAAGAAATTCGCTAAAATATACTTTCAGAATTCGGAATAAATTTTGATATTTAAAGAAAAGAAATTTTTATATCTTATATTTTATTGTTTCACAGAGTAGAATAAAAACTGCTGAAAGTGAACGAGATTCTCTTATGAAGAAAATTGAAAACCTTCAAATACAAAAACTGGTTGTTGAAGGTAAATTTCTATTATCACATATTCCTTTTTCGATAGGAATACTAGGACTTGTGAAGTTTAACTCAATAAGACTAAATTATAGAAATTGACTGTTATTACCCAACTGATTTTCTTTCATTCTAGATCAGATTCAGCAATTTGGTACAGCTAGTAAACTATAGGTGTATTGCTGGTGTGATACAAAGGCCGAATTGAGCAATTATTTTGTCTTCTATAATAATGATAGATAGTGGCTAGCAATGGAATCCAGGACTCGTCAGCTAGATGTACCTGCCTATCAGTGAGTATTGTTCCAGCTAAGACTGGGAACGGGGATCGATTGCTTGAAAACGCTACAGTACAATCCATTAGACCACTGAGTCACTATAGCTACCTGTTTTGCTTAGAGTATAATGTTATTGATGTTGTCTTCTTTCAGAAATCGTTGGTTATCCAAATAAAACCCAAGTCATGAGAACCTTACTTTATAAACCTTAACCACTATACCGACTTCTTGAATTCTTTGAACTGGAAGTGCTTTGTGTGCGATATTATTTAATGCATACCTTATATCATTGGTTGACCAACATTAAAAAGTATTAGCTAGTGGAATTAAGCTTATCATTCTTATGATTGTAATACAGAACTATGGGGTACTTTTTTTCAATTTGAATTGCTTTTGGGTACCATCTTTCATGACAGCAGAAAAATTGAAAATCAGGAAGACCTTAAACATCTGAAATTTTACGTGTGATATAGAACTTAGAGAGATATTGAATCTGTAGAGGAAAACAGAAGAATGAATGTATCTACACCTTTGGAGTTGACTTTGTAGCGTACAATTTGAATGAGAAAAATTCGAAAATCTATTATCAAGAATACAGTAGATTAATCTTAACACTTCAGTTTAAACCGTAACTCTATTTACCGTTTAATTTTTTTTAGAGTTTACCAAATAATAATATGCATATTAAAATGATAAACAAATATAAGAATGTTCATCTGTGTACTGTCACCTGTAGTTCAGGAAGAAAAGATGAATTATTAATAAAAATGATGAAAAACCCAAGCGAATAAAGATGAAACAATTTGCTTATAAGTAATAATTGTAGTGCAATTGCTGATATTTCGCTTCAACTTAACTTTTTAATGGTTATTTTTTAACCAGTTTACCTCGTTTATTGACAATACTCCATATGGATACTTCACTTCATCAATTTGTACTGATTACAATCTTTAACATAACATTGGAATCCCGACCATTTTTAACTTTATCTCAAACAACAAATCAATCTAGACATTTATATCTTGAACTGAAAGCATTTGTCATCGTGTCTTTATTTCCTGTGTATTAGATAGTCAAGTGAACTTTATGATTAGTTTAGGATTACTATTATTATTACTCATTATTTTTCCCTTGGGTTCCTAGTGGAACATAAAGCTTCAGTAGTACGTCTCCATTCCACTGTGTTCTCTGCAGTCTTTTCAACCTGGTGCCACAACTGCCCACAAGCTTTCGTTTCTTCATCACATGATCTCCTCCATGTAACCCTCAGCTGGCACGCTCAACTCCTCACTTCCCATCTGAGTTCCACTCGACGGCATGGCCTGACGCGTGATGTCCACAATCGGCCTTCTCAGTGCATGCCCAACCCGACTCCACTTTCTTCTACTGCATATTTGTTGGGTGATAGGTTCTTGCTTCGTTGGTTCGTTGCCAGGTCAGAGTTGCTTGTTGCTTATTCTTATCATTCTGGCCATCTGATGTTCAGTAAGGAGCCAGCGTAGGCAGTTGTTGATGAATGTCTGTAGTTTGTTGGGAGTGCTTTTCGTGACACACCAAGTCTCTGAGCCATACATAAGCACTGACTTGACTGAGTTGGTGTTGAAAATCCGGATGTTGTTCATGGCTTGTGCTGAGTGCAGTGGACCTCCACACTGATTGGTTTCAGGCTAATGAATGCCTGTCTTGCTTTTCCGATCCTGGCTCTGACATCCTCGTCCGTGCCGCCTGAAGTTGAAACGATGCTGCCTAGGTAGGTAGGTAGGTGTAAGAGGCTACTTCCTTTGCATCTCTCCTGTTGATAATGATTGGTGCTTGTTGTTGATGCTGTTGTTGGTTGGGTATATTAATCACCTATGTCTTCTCTACATTCACTTGAAGTCGCGTTTTCGCTTCTCTGTCTCTTCTGTTAACTTGTTAGTTTTTGACTGTAGATCTTCCAGTTTGTGCGACATGACATGAAACATAAATCATCGGTGAAATTCACATCTTCTAGGCTGTTTTCATCGGTGCAGCCAGCATATGCCTTTCTTCTTGCTCCTCACAGTCTCTTGCATGATGCAGTCGACCACAATCAGGAAGATGATGGGTGATAGTAGTCGGCAGCCTTGTCTTACTCCTGTCTTTACTTCAAGGGCGTCACTGAGCTTTCTATTGTGGATCACTTGGCATATGGCGTCTTCATGTAGCTATTAAGTGAGGTTGATAAAGGTTTGTGACACTCCGTAGTGTTCAAGCAACTGTCAAATTAGTTTAAGATTACATTTTTTCAAACCAAATTAAATGCTTACCATTGATAAAGCAGAGATGAAATCGCATTCTTTGATAGAGATATAATTCATTTGCTTAAGTATTTGAGTTAGAATTATTGTATCCTAGGTTCCAAATACTTTCAACCTTCTTCGGTCTGAAAAAAATGGGTAGAACTATAAGCCCCTGTTGACCAAGTATACCTTGCTGTCGAGTATACCATTCCTGATCCGAGTTGATTCGCATTACCTACTGACTTTGTTACGAACTGAAACATTAGTCTTCTATTTACGATTTGATGCCACATTTCCTAAGAATTGACTTCAGGGTTCTTCCATCTTTGATTGATGATCTCTAAGTCAACCTTATATTTTTCAAAGTATATTTTATACACTTATTAACTGCTTGCTTTATTATTCGCTTTTTTAAATCTTTAAAATACTTAGGCATGAATCTGTAGGATTCGTCTAATTAACCACTAAATAGTATTAATTGATACCAAAACTTGATTGCTGTTCATAATGTGAACGGATAATGTAAACTTTACATATGCATTTCTAATTATTTTGCTTGTCATTTAGATCAATTATCTGATTTTTCATCACAGCCAGTAAGCGGTAGTAATCTTTCTCGCAATAAAGAAACTTTGAAACAAAAGTCATATCAAGTAATTGGTACTAACAATCAAGTGGTAAGTACTTAGTGAAGAGAGATTGTGTGTGTGTGTGTGTGTAACCATATTCAATAAATAACATTACTAGAAGTTATTTGATCATGAAATCTCGCTTGATGACCAAATCCATGTGATGTTGCACTCTTTTCCTCTTTTTTCCTAACTGGAGACTACATTTACAATTTACCACACAACACTATGTCAGGCGGAAAACAAGAGAGTTGTACGGCCTCATTTACTGCTGATTATGATGACTATTTCACTTCATTGGAGAGTTGCTTCAGCACGAACAGGCTGGTTACTGAAGAATTCTCAGTTCCCTTACAGAGGGCCCATTCAGCATTTGCCAAATCACATCACCTTTGGGACCGGCAAGATAACCGACTATCTAAACTGCTCTGCAGTTGGTTCTATCCTGTTATACGACTGAGAGACATGGCCGCTAAAGGTAGAAGATATGAAGCAATTATAAGGATTTGATCACAGACGTCGTATCATTGCTCACGTTTAATGCATTCACTGTATGTGAGTACTATTGAGGTCAGGCGAAGAGGACTAGACAAGATAGTTAAGTCGATTGATGAGGTTGTGGACCTTCGGTGACTGGTGTAGCTTGGATATCTGTTGCGCACGCCGAACCACCGCCTACCATGATATAACATGCTAAGGGAAGTTGGATTAGGTTGAAACCTAGCTCAAGGTGGCCACACTGACCTGACGAAGTCCTTGATTGTTGGTCTTAGCCGTGTGGATAGATATCCACTGCCTGGTTGGGGTTCCCGAGGCGAAAGGAATAGGAGGTTGGGGACTGGATACTTTGTTGTATTCTAGATTACTTCATCATTTCCAAGTTTATAACTTTGAATTGTTGTAAATATTTGATGCCCGTGGTTCTGCTGATTCAATACTAACGCTGATTTTACACGTGATTGTTCTCACACACGCCTACCTTGTCTCTTATACTGATGACTTTAAAGGCTACCCTAGCAACAGTCAAAATAACGAAATAGATTTCTATTGGAAAATCAAATTTCTACAAAATGTAGACGTTTAATTGGTTATTTCAGTTTTTGGTAGGGTGACCTTTAATGTTAATCCTTTTATAGTCAATCAATTCACGCGATGACTTACACAGTTTAACCCTCCTAACCGTGTACAGTAGAATGCGAAGCCTGATGTTTATTGTCCGTATCTACTTCAGGTGATCGAATTCATCTGTTACATACAATCAAATTACTTGTGTGGTCAAAATGTACCATAATTCACATCAAAATGAAGCAACCACTTTTATGCATAGAAAATGAAGTGATATCAGTCAATATGATGCAGTGATTATTTTCGTCCAAAGTGTAAGTCATACATAAATAGATGAGGGGAAGGGATTAATCAAAACCTCTTGAAAGGAACGAGCTATACAATAATGCCATCAATTAAATTGATTAGTAGAATTGCAGTGGGCGTCAATGATAAGAATGGATATAAGTAGTAAATGTTGAGAGGGTAGCAGAAATCATAGGGAATTACCAGCAATGGGTAAGGATTCTGCCAAGAGCAACACAAAGGATAACGCAAACACATTACAGTGGGTGTTGCTGATAAGAATGTATGAAGATCAAATCAAAAGAGACTTCGAATTCGCGGAGGATCTCGGAGCCCCCATCAGCTCAATGACCGACTAGAAGTCCCTGAGGAAGACCTTGATGTCTCCATCCTCGAGCACCTCAGGCCACGGAATCTTCATCACGTCTAGAGGCGGCGAAACCAATTGAAGGAGCAAGGAGACAGATACGAAGGAAAGAATGTTTATTGTTAACAATTGAGACGGTAGTCGTCGTTGCACTAAAACCATCATTTGCAAAATGTGTTTCATTTCCTCTTCTAATTCTCTTTTGATTTGCTCTTCATACATTTTTATCAGCGACGTTCAGTGCAGAATGACTTTGAAAATAAATAAAACAATACGACTAACAACACTCAACTGAGATTCGTATTTTTCACTTTTTGTATATTTGTCTTGTTATTTAACAATTTGTGATTGTAATTGTATGATATTTGTTAAAGATTAGAAAACTTCAATTCCAAAATAAAATCATTTAGTTAGTTGGATTTTTTTTGCTTAGTTTCCTTGTCGAGAGAATCATCATCATCATCATCGACAGTCTACTGAATACTACACCATTAACAAAATGCAACAGTTGGATCGATTAAATAATCTGAATCAGAATGAAAATCATCCTATGAAATGTGGAGATCTTGCCGCCAACAGTATGTAAGTAATACTGTACAAAATGGATTTGATTTGTATACATTTTGAAAAAGTTCTGGAATACTACGTGTTTACAAATCAAATTTCTTTATTTTATGAAAACTTACCTTTCCAACCGAAATGAAGAAATGTAATTGGTTGTTTTGATTATTGCTAGGATGACCTTTAAATTCGCTTAATCAAGTTGTACCCTTCAGTTTATTCGTGTTTTGGCATGCATAAGTATGGCTGTACATAATTCAGCCAAAAGCTGTACACAGGGACTGGTTAGTAGTAGTATCTCATGTATGTTTTATTTCAGCTTAGTCTGTGATATATGTCGTGTGATTTCAATCTCAAGTACCAGAGATATTCGCTCACTGAAGAGCATAACAGTTGAGTTGTAGTCAAGTAGTATCGTTCAATTTATATGCATAGTTATTTCAAACTATACGACTAAGCGGAAAAAAGTTTATCGAATAGCCTTGAGGCTGTTTTCTTTACTTGTCGCTACAAAATATGCCAACTCCATGCTCATTATTATCATGTAGCTTTAGTAAAAACTTCACCACAAATTCCAAAAGAATTGTCATTAAGAATACATATTTAGGGAAATTATCACCATATAATCGAATGATTGTATCTTTTAGTCCTAAGCACAGCTTTATTCCTATTGTGTTTAGAGGGGATTGTCTGAAGGAGTAACTTAATCCGCTTTAATTCCACCGATTGCTTCCATGAAAGAATTTACTTTCAAGTGTATATTCTGCCTGTTTTGATTGTAAATTTTATGTGTGTATCCGCAACTTAATCTATAGTGATGATACTGTTACATTGATCTCGATGACTAGCAGAGGAATCCAGAACGCACGTTTCGTCCTATTTGTGACTCTTCAGCTGGGTGTACCTGCACCCCAGTGTGGAGTGTTGTTCCCACTGAGACTCAAACCCAGTACCCTTAGCTTCAAACACACAAGTATCATAACGATAACTGATACTTGTTGCACAAGAGGTGGGTATTGCGCCCCGGTAGCTTATTGGACAACGCTCCAGCGTTTGGAGCGAAGGGAAATGAGTTTGAGCCTCAGTGGGAACAACATCTCTTACTGGGGTGCATGCACATCCAGCTGAAAAGTCTCAAATAAGGCGAAACATGCGTTCTGGATTCTTCTGCTGGCTACCAAGATCAATGTAACATCATGAATAGTTAGCAGTATTGAGGCATTCGGACAGGAGCCCATCTGCCAACGGGTGCCGAGCAATTCGGCCCTGTATTTATTATTATTATTATTATTAGTCCCTTGGGTTCCTAGTGGAACATAGGGCTTCAGTAGCACGCCTCCAGTGACCTCTGTTCTCTGAGATCTTTTGAACCTGGTCCACGACAGCCCACAACCTCTCATTTCCTCCTCGCACGACCTCCTCCATGTCACCCTCGGACGTCCAACTCGTCGCTTCCCATGGGGATTCCACTCGAGGGCCTGACGCGTGATGTCCTCAGTCGGCCTTCTCAGTGCATGGCCAATCCATCTCCGCTTCTTCCTGCATATTTGTTGGGTGATAGGTTCTTGGTTGGTTCGTTCCCAGAGTTCCTTGTTGCTTATCTTTTCTGGCCATCTGATCTTCAGCAGCGAGCGTAAGCAGTTGTTGATGAATGTCTGTAGTTTATTGGAAATACCTTTCGTGACGCGCCAAGTCTCTGAACCATACAAGAGCACTGACTTGACGTTGGTGTTGAAAATCCGTATCTTGTTCCGCATGCTGAGTGAGTGCAGAAGATCTCCACACTGGTTTCAGGCTAATGAACGCCTGTCTTGCTTTTCCGATTCTGACTTTGACGTCCTCGTCCGTCCCGCCTGTAGTTGAAACAGTGCTTCCTAGATAAGTGAAGGAGGTTACTTCCTTCAAGTTTCTCCCGTTGACGGTGATTGGAGTTTGTTGTTGTTGTTGATGGTGGTGGTGCGGTATCTTCATCACTTCTGTCTTCTCTATATTCACCTGAAGTCCCGTCTTCGCCACCCTGCCTCTTCTATCAACTTGTTAGTTTTTGCCTGCAGATCTTCAAGTTTGTGTGACATTAGGCATAAGTCATTGGCGAAATCCAAGTCTTCTAGGTTCTTTTCCGCCGTCCAGTGTATCCCCCTCTTCTCGCTGCCTACTGTTTGCTGCATGATCTAGTCCAGTCCACCACAATAAGGAATATCATGGGGGATAGTAGGCAACCTTGTTTCACTCCTGTCTTCACTTCAAAAGCATCACTGAGCTTCCCATTGTGGATTACTTGGCATGTGGCATCTTCATATAGTTGTTGAATGAGGCGGATAAAGGTTTGCGGTACTCCGTAGTATTGAAGCAGTTTCCAAATTACTTCTCGGTCGACGCTGTCAAAGGCCTTCTCAAAGTCGATGAAGTTGAGGCAGAGAGCTGATTGCCATTCTATGCTCTGTTCTATGATGATACGAAGCGTTGCAATTTGGTCTGCACATGATTTGTACTTCCTGAAGCCTGCCTGTTCCGGTCGCAGTTTTGAATCCAGTGCGTCTTTAAGCCTCTCTAGGATGATGCGGCTTAATATTTTACTTGGGGTGGACAGGAGAGTGATTCCGCGCCAGTTCTTGCAAGCACTGAGGTCTCCCTTCTTCGGCAGTTTGACAAGGTAACCCTTCTTCCAATCAATAGGCAGGTACCTTCTCTTCCTTCCACACCTTCTGCAATAGTGGTGTGAGCATGTCCGCTGTTGTCTCTGCATCTGTTCTCAGTGCTTCTGGCGGTATTCCATCTGGTCCTGCTGCTTTCCCGCATTTCAGTAGCTTTATGGCGTTCAGGACTTCCATTTTCGTTGGGGGATTTATGTTCACTTGTAATTCAGCGGCTGCAGGTGGTATTTCTGGACGAAGTGCAGGTGGTGGTCGATTCAAGAGCTTCTTGAAGTGGTCGGCCCATCGTTTCCTCTGTTTCTCTTCTTTTGTAATTAAATTTCCTTCTTCATCTTTTATTGGTTTCATCTGTGTTGGTCTCTTCCCTGATAGCAACCTGGTTATTTGATACAATGTCGTCAGGTCTCTCTTACCTGCAGCCTGTTCTGCTTCACTTGCCAGTGTTTCGTAGAAGTGTCTTTTGTCTTTGCGTGCACTCTTCTTCACTTCTTTGTCCAGTGTTTTATACATTGTGCTCAGTTCCTCTTGTCGTTGAGCATCCTTGCACTGGTTTATCTTCTGCTTCACCATCCTCCTCTCCTCTATCAGCTTCCAGGTATCCGTCGAGATCCATTCCTTGTCTTCTTTCTTCTTCCTTCCTAATACTGTTGTGCAGGTTTCTTTCCACATAGCTTTCAAAGACTTCCAGTGTTCTTCCACACAGGTTTCTTCAGGGATGTTCCTCGATATCTCCCATTTTGTCTTGATGGCTGCCTTGAAGATCTCCTTTGTAGTTTCATCCTTCAGTTTCCGAGTGTTGTACTTGAATTGAGGTCTATCACCAGCTTCCTTGAAGGCTTTTAACTTGATTTGGAAGGTTCCTTGCACTAGACAGTAGTGGTCTGAACCTACATCTGCTCCTCTTCTTGACCTTGTGTTAAGTAGACTGCGTCTCCATTTTCTTGAGATTGAGATAAAGTCGATTTGATTTTTAGTGTGTCCATCTGGTGAAATCCATGTCGCTTTGTGGATATCTTTGTGCCTGAACACACTGCCTCCAATCACCAAATCGTTGAATGCGCAGAATTCTGCAAACAATTCTCCATTCTCATTCATTTCACCTAGCGCCTCTCGACCCATGGTTAGTTCTCTTCCCGTGTTGTCCCCTCCCAGTTTGGCATTCATGTCGCCCATTAGAATTTTGATATCGCCAACTGACGTCTTGTCCAGTGTTGATTGAAGTTGTCTGTAGAAATCCTCCTTTTTCTCTTGCTCTGCATTATTTGTAGGTGCATAACATTGTATGATTGTGACCTTTCTTCCTTTTGAGTTGAATCTTGCTGTCATGATCCTGGAGGAGATTGGTTCCCACTGCATGAGAGCCTTCGATGCTCTTGAGGACATCATGATAGCCACTCCATAACTCAGTGTGCTCGTGGTTGGCGTCTGGGTGACCGGAGTAGATTATTGATTCTCCAGTTGACAGTTTGGAGAGTCCACTCCCATTCCATCTGCTTTCGCAAATCCCAAGCACTTCGATGTTATACCTTCTCATCTCCTTTGCAATCTGGGCTGCCTTACTGGGTTCAAACATCGTGCGGACATTCCATGTCCCCACGTTTACTTTCGCTTTCATCGAGAGAAGACACATCGGCCAATTGGCTTCCCGAAGGCTTTCACCAACTGGCGTCATTTCGCCTCTCCGATTCCAGCGGGGAATAAGTTTGTTTTCATTTTTTATATTTTGTTTGTGCTTTGAAGTTTCTTTAGCGGTTAGATTTGTTTTACGGGGTAGGGTTGCTAGCCCTATGCCCAACCTTCCCTCTTTACCCGGGCTTAGGACCGGCTAGTAACTAGTAAACTAGTTAACCAGGCGAGGTTTTTCGGCCCTGTATATCCGCGGGAAATTACAAGCATCATACTAACAACAGTGATGATATCTACTTAACTGAACACTAGAGCATAGTGTGACCTAACTGGATAATATTTACCACGACTTGTTACGGCTGACTCATTGTAACCAAGTGGTAACTACTATCTATTGACATCTTGTTACTCTCGGTTGTTTTGTTGGATCGAATTATTCGACCTCCACTGGCATATGGGCTCCTATGCGGATTCCTCGATATTGCCTGAATGTTATTTATGATAATTCGGTCGGTTTTGGCTCACACGAGAATCCATGACGCGCGTTTCGTCCTATTTGGGACCGTCAGCTGGATATACCTGCACCCCAGAGATGTTGTTCTCACTGAGACTCGAACCTCGTACCCATCGCTTCAAACGCCACAAAGGAACGATAGCCACTTCTTGTACAGCTGGCAGTATCGAGGCATCCGCATAGGAGCCGATATCCCAATATAAATCTAACAGTTCGATCCAACAAAACAACGGAGAATAACCAGTTTGTCAATAATAGTAATAACCATCACCCGTTGTACAAAAAGCGGCTATCGTTCCTCTGTGGCATAGTGGATAACGCCTCGGCGTTTGAAGTGATTGGTACGAGGTTCAAGTCTCAGTGGGAGCAACATCACTGGGGCGCAGGTACATCCAGGTGACGGGTCCCAGATAGAACGAAATGCGCGTCCTGAATTCTTCTCCTAGCCACAACCAACCAGACTACCAAGTGGTAGCTGTCTTCAACGTTGCACTGAATGAGTGTCAGATGATTAAAAACTTGGCCAACTAATCGTATGAATATATATATATATATATATATATATATATTCTATTTAGTTACTGAGATATATTAACAGATTTGTGGATTGTTTATTTACTGGGGCTATTCAGTAGACGGATTGAATGTCATGAGCAAAATCAAGCTTGTAATAAGCTCTATTTCTGTCTGAAGTTAAAAGGTTGTCTTGTTTATTAAACTTCATACTTAAATGGAATCATTGTAAAACTATTGCTATGTTAAATATGAAATATTGTATCAAATATATTTGTCCAGATTGTCTGTTTTCGGTTTCTTCATGATAAGAAGTTATCTTTAAACAGATTTTCTCTACAGTAATGACACTATTGACTTGTTTGTTGTTGCCAAGTGAAAATATTGAGCTTTATATTGATTTTCAAAAAGAGTATACATACTAAATCTTCTTACAACATTCAATTATCTTGTTTTAACAGCTGTAACAGGAATAAATTCTATTCAGGATGTATTGGTAGTGTCTGTTATATCCGATTGAATCGTCTTATTCGAAAACTTCAACATTTAACTGACCATTATCAGAATCATTTACAGACATGTTCTTGTGTTGTTCAACAAAATTGTCCTAATATCCGTAATACTTTAAATCAAATAAATTGTCTAACTACTGATCAAAAATTCTCTATACCATCTATGCAATCAGAAATGCTTACTTGTTCTCATCCACCTGGACTATTATTTTCATCATCATCAAAAGATTGTTTATATACATCGAATTTACACAATAAATTGATCACAAATGATGTGAATCACAACACAAATGAAATAGAAATGCCAACAAAAGATGTAAGTTTTCAATTGTATAAACTTATATTGGTGTTTAGACAACCAGATAATGTCTAGATACTTTAGAAACACTAAGAAAGGGAAACCTTAAAGCAGTCGATGAAGTCTCTTACTGTTGGTCTGAGGTGATGTAAACCGCTTGGTTAGGGTCGCCCGAGACGAAAGGAATCAGAGTTGGAGAACTCGCTTTTCATTGTACTCAGAGTCTGTAGGGATGCGTTCACGTGCATTCATTAGTTCGGAAGAAGCTTCTGATATCCACTGGCTCCTTTTAGCCACCATTTTGGAGTCGGTTACAGTCTTCAACGCCGCTTTTACAGCAGACTGAAGATGGCACCAAGCTTCTTCTGGATGAATGACAGTATTTTGTTCCGATAATTGCCTAGCCAACTTCTCACTGAACACGGCTTTGGTGTTTCCGTTTTCCAGCAGAACTCGTAGTGGTTTTGTTGCCAAATTTTTTCTACGTCCATTGAGACGCAGGCATATACGTGCTCAGACCAACGCATGATCGCTGTCTAAGTACGCACTCCAGAAGGAGCAGCAGTCTTCCACTGATCCTCTCCAGCGATGACCAATAGCAGTGCGGTCTATCTGTGTCCATCGCTGATTTGGGCTCGGTGGACGCCACTTCAGACAGTGTCTTTCTTTATGTATATACACATCATCTTCATCGTAACGACGCTATACCAAATCTTACCATTTTGTCATTCCTCTTTTCTCTCTTCTCGTACTTTATATTTCTTTTGACTGCATTCTCTTATCTTCTTCCTTCACCTCACTACCTTTCTACTTAATGTACTGTAATGAGCTGTGGAAACTCGGAGCGTTACGCAGTAATGCCTGGTCCTATGTTCATATTGATTGATTGATGGCTGAAAATTGGCCAAAGTGGAGTAGATGTATTCAATCCTTGACATCTTCTAAAGCTTGAATATTTATGCTAACTTTTATCTTCAGATTGTTTATTCTCTCATTCTACTTTGTCCGCTTTGATATCATTCCTTTCCTATCCACCTATTCTTTGTATACTACTATTAAGTGTGCAAGTTGAGCCGGTGTAGTTGTGTATGAGATTCCACATTGACAAATAACAAAGTATCAATACTAGTCGTCTCCCAAACGACGCCAATTTCAGATAGTCAAATGATAATCAGTATGGTGCTCCCCATCTCTAATTCAGTTAGATTTCGATTGGGATGAGGAATCCTGACTAGGCAGCTAGTATGAATCCGACCAGACGGTAGTAATATGTTACGAATTCATATGGTAGTCAGGTAAAACCCTTTGTGATTGAAATGAAATGAAAATCTGGTTAGCAGTCGGATCTCGTACACCCCAGTTGATAGAGCATCGAGCCGGAAACCCGGTGGTCTCTGGTTCGTTTTTCACTTCACCTTCAATCATCACTTTATATTATTCGTCGTGTTATACAGATTGTTTCATGGCTATCACTTTTATGTCTCAAAAGCATATTCTTATTTTGATGACGGTGTAAACTTTACTTTTGATGAATAAGAACACTTTCAAACATTTGGTGTAATAATCTGTTTGTCTACAATATGACTGCATTATGCATACTTGACTTAAGCCATTCAAATTTTTTGAACAAAATTTACAGTACATTGACTGATCACTCGAAAGCAACCAATGTTGGTTAGAGGTGATTGATAGAAAGCCCTGAACCGACATTTACTGCTTAGTGGCAGTCGTCATCAAGGTGTATCTGCAACCTCAACAGAACTGATGTGCTGCCTGATATTCATGCCCACGTCGCCCATTGTTGCATTCACTGATGTAACCACTGAGCTATTCGGCCGGAGATTGACTTTCTGTAGGAGTCGATAAGACACACTGATTGGTCACTGATGAGGAACTAATTTGTTGTTATCTAGTCCTTCCTGAGTGCTGATTGGATTTATCAATCGTTTTGCAGTGTGGATACAGTATTTTTTTTCAATTTCCTTGAAGTTTTATTCTTTCAGGGTTCATGGCAAACCTAGAAAACCAAAAAAATATTTTGAAAATAAATTAATACGTACTAATTTCTATGTAGTTTCTAAAAATCATTTTTTTTAAAATAAGCGGAATATATTTTCCATTCGCTCACGGTCAATGATCATCACACTTGAAAGCAAAACTTTTAACATGTTTTAAATTTCAGGGGAACCGTTCGAAAACCTTATTGGCACAGTCTATACCTTTGTGTATAACTCCAACTAGTGATTCTGAAGTTTGTTGTGCAGTTACAGTTAGACCATGTCAAAAAATTCTCAATGTCAACAGTAAACTACCTTCATCAATTAAACATTTCACTGGAATACATGAAAACAAGAAAAACTTATCACAAAGTACGTTGCCTGTAATAAGTAAAGTTGTTGAAGATCCTGTAGTAAGCAAGAAAATAGCTTGGAGATGACCTAACGTTTACTTATAGAAAGTGTTTCAGAAGTTAAACTTATTTTTCTTAGAAAAATCTTATCAGTTGTTCAAGAAGTCATTCATATGTATGTTTTTCTTTAATAATATTGTTCAAGATTTTTAATTGACATTTTATATATTACTTCAGATTTAGATGTTTTATTTCATCTACTCTACTGAGTTTATCAATTTAATACAATAATTCATTGATAAGTAATATTGACTAGGTTTTAAGACTAAGTTTGTGAAAATGTTATTGAGGAAATATTTCAACTAGTAGGTATATAATTATTCTTAGATGGCTGATTTTTACGTTTAAAGATCGAAATTTATCAAAACATAACGAATACAAAATGATATGACTCTTATATTTCTGTCGACTATAAAATAATGATATACATGATAGAAAGATTGATATGATAAAAACCTATACGAGTGGAACATTATCCACACTTCTTGAAGAGCTTCATTCTAATCTAATGCATAAAGCAGATTTGCATAAAATGCTATTCTACCAGGACTGATGAGTATGAGGTGAAAATGCAAGAGAATGTTCTTGATGAGAATGTTATCTTGTAACTGTGTGTGCCAGTGTTGAGCTGTTGCTCATAGGTTTGGGTAGTTGACTTTCAACCAGTGAGTAGCATATCTGGACCTCATTTTACTTATAGAGGTTTCGGCAGTCAGATAGTAACATAAGCCCCCGTATAATAGATGTGATTCACTACCACTGTTACGGTAGTGTGCATATGTTTACTAAGTATATATTGATTTTTCTCATATGTGTGTATCAATTCGAACGCGTTTGTTGAAGCAGATATGCATGTGATATGGAGTAAGATAAATATGGTTAGGCGTTTATTCAACTTTGCTGAAAGTTTCACAAACAAAACTCTTAAACAACCCCATCATAGTGTCTAAATAATGGGTACAGTATTAGTATAGTCAATTAGTCCTTTACATTTACCAATAAAAAGATACTTAGAGAAATGTTTGTATACATACAGGTATATCTTGTTCATGTTCGAAAGTCAAAACTTTGTCAGCAGTAGTAGTGGTTTTCAGTCTAAATTTCCCGTGATAACTATTTCAGTGCAATATTGTAGTGGACGTTTCTGATAAGAGTGGGTATACGTAGTATGTGTCGAGAGGGTGGCAGGAATCATAGGGAATTATCAACAATGGGTAGGGATTCTGCCAAGAGCAACGCAAGGGATAACGCACGTGTATTACAGAGGATGCTGTTGATAAGAATGTATGAAAAGCAAATCAAGAGAGAAGTAGAAGAGGAAACGAAGCATATTTTGCAAATGACGGTTTTAGTGCCAGGTGTACTATATGTAAGAACCACCGTCCCAATTGTTGGTAATAGACGTTCTCCTTGTCACGTCTGTCATCTGTCTCCCCAATATGACTTCCAATCTAGGCCTATAATCCTATAATGATTTTTGAAATAAAAAGGTACTTTGTTCAATATATCAGTTTTGTAATATATTTCCAATTACATCCCCTTTCTTTAGTGGTATATTTAATCCTTTATGTGAGCTATTAATCTATTGAGTTTCACTAAAAGTGACTAATTTATTACACTTTACATTCTAACATTGGCTACTTGTTTTAACCCCCTGTTAATTCCATGTGAAGTGTTTTTAAATTTCAGGTTGGTATTTTTCGTGAACTGACATCAGTTAGAAAAATACTGAAAACCTGGGAGCACTGGGCAGCTATTTCTCCCTATTGTGAGACTCCTCAGCAGTCCACACCCACGACCTCACGCTGCCAAGGATCCAACCCAGCGCCTTTAAATTCCGCAATTAGCACGTTACCGTTGAGCCACTCGGTCAGAATCCAATGTTTAGTATTTCTTACTTCTATCAGTTTCTGATAATGTGCGACTTTCCCTCCCACCCCGTCTCGTCGAGGCCATCCTTATGTATCTTGGTTCAACTCCTGGCGTGACCATTGGTGCTCCCTGCTCAGAAGTTCCATATTAGGATGAAATATCTGGTTAGTACTCCTAGGTTTCAAATGTTTCTTCAACTCATCAGTTTGTGATGAATGCCAACCTGAAATCAATAAATAAATCCCCACAATTCTCAAAATTATTTTACAATTTCCGTGGACTTTTCTCTTATCTCCATAACCATCTGTCGACAAGCATTTTCTACCAGAAATAGTTAAAGTGTAAACAGTGTGGGAAGTTAAATATCGGCAAACAGTTATTCAAACTGATTCTCAAATACAGACTGATAATTGTCATCTAATTAATTAGGTATTTTGAAACAGTAAGTTCTAATATCAGGAAAGGGAACTGAGTATATATGAGAGATTTTGAGCATCTAATGAGAAGTACAAATGTGATCAAAAGCATCCACGACTTGAACACAACCCAACCTCCTTGTTGTAGATAAGTTTCCAGCTGGGTTTTCAAGGTCATTTGAAGGATAACAGTATCCAGTATTTTGGATGCAACTAGTAGCAGACTAATACACCAGTGACTTTCATACATATAATTAGACCATTTTTAAAGATGCGTATAACACTCTGCAGTGATAGAATATATGCAATCTTGGTATATGTTGTGTTCTGTGAGCTGGGTGATTAAATTTTGAAGCTCCCATTATCTTTATTAACACCATCATCAAGACAATCTGCCATACCTAAAGCAATCTAGTCAGTTCTCTGACTACAGTCTCCATCCTTACATACAGCAAAGATTTACTAGTCTGGGCTAAGCGCTTTGTGACGATTTATTGATTATTGTATCTTCTGAACCCTTCGTTGAACGAATTAGTGTTAACAGCATAAGCGACTTATGTTGAAATTTGTGGATCAGGCATCTAGCTAAATTGATTTTCCAAATGCTTCCCACAGTGTTTCCAGGTTTTCGCGAAGGATGCTTATCGCCATGCCATCCACACCAGGGACTGTCTCCTTGACACTAATTTTTCTTGCTACCATTGCCTCGAAAGATATGTAACGGTTTCCGTATGTTGTCGTACGTTCTTACCAATAAAAATGACTGTCGTTATTTTATGAACTGTGATGTTTTGCGTAAGGGATTTACACGTACTACTGAAATCACTGCCACCGGAGAGGACAGATGACCTTCAAAAAGTGGTAGTGAGTGTCTAGAGACACCCAGTGTTAGGTCAGAAGTGTTTCGAAGAGGTGAATAGCTCTACTTGGCTTTTTCATGGCATCTTGTGGGCACGGAAAATGCTCATCTTCACTTTTTATAAGTTCAACAACTAGTCTTGGATTTAGCTCGACTTTATATTCCTTTTTAACTCATGAAAATGGAACAAGAAGGAATTGAACTGTATTGTAATTATCCACGACAACTTAGATGGAGATGATGTATGGATACGTCTGTACGACTGACATCGACTCTGAGCCATAATACCTAAAGTGTGCAGCCACTAATTTCTGTTGTTTTGAGGATTCCAACGAAGAATTCGAAATTCCCCTACATGTCTCAGACCAACAGTCAAAGACTTCATGCGATGATGCTATGTTTTACTCTGACCGCTTTAGCCTTTTTCCAGCCTCAAACTACTGCGCGATGGGGGTAAACAATAACTAGATATGGGTGACATGTCATGGCCAACTAAGTTGACGAAGATTCACAACCTCATCAACAGACTTTCTTCTTCTGTCTAAAACTCTACACCTAATTTATACGTTAATGACTTGGTTACATTAGGACACAGCCTGTGTGGTTAAAACAACAGTGGTCGAACATCTGGTCAGAGTGGACTGTAGCGCAATGCACTAAACGCTTATTAGGTGGTTGGATGCTATGGCAATGTCGTGAGCGGTGTATGCAGACGAAGGTCAAGAAAGCCCTTAGTTTTCGTGCAGAGATTTCATTGGTCATTGACTCATCAGGGCTGGTGCATCTTTCTAAGTAAGTAAAGTGATCAGTCGGCATTGTTAGACAAATAACCAAGACAGATCAGTGGTAGAGAAACAATTTGCATTTGGGAGTTGAGAAACACATCTCAAATATTCCCAAGTTGCCACTCAAAGTGTCCAGAAAACTGTATCTCTTAAGGTTCCGCTCGTAACAGGGCCATGTCTTCTATATACTCTAGGTCAACTAGAGAGTTGATTTTTGTAGAGTCAGACGAAGAGAGAGATGCCACCATGCGCATTCTTGACGTGCGCAACTAACGTGGTAACTCATCATATGCTCTGACACGCCTATGTGCGTCTAAATACAGGATGATATGCCTACCTGGCACCTCTTTCAATGAGGAACACTTTAGTGGGGCCCTTCAGTTGATGGAGTTAATTATTGTCTTCAGGACCAGAAATATAGATGGTGACGGTAAGTGTTCCCGTGCCCCAGAAATTGACAGAAGTCGATTTACAAACAATCAAGTCTGAAACCTGCTTTGTTTCCTCGTGTTTGCTGTTCACAAACTAAACTTAAAGGTCTAATAATTATAGAACATCAAATCATGCTGACTCCCCTGATGTTATCACAAAAAATTCCTCACCTTTCTTGAAACTAGGACAATCAGTTATAGAGACCAGTCGGAGTGGATCACATCTGACTCTCACACCCTAGCTAACATTTCAGTTAATTTGACTAGCAGTTCCCTACTACAGTCCTTAAGTACGTCTGGTACTCGTTCGTCTGACCCTGTATTTCTTCATCGTTTCAGGTCACTGACAACCTTCTTAACTGTTGCAAGAATTAGGGGACCTGTCTCGGTATTCCATTCATGATCGGATAGGATGGCAAGAAATGGAATAATAGCTGAAGGCTGTTTGAACTGTTTCTCGAAGCGAACCACCCAACATCGCAGTAGTCTTTTGTGTAACTCTCAGGCCCATCCTTCTTCACAGTAGTTTCACTAACCATTGACTTTTTACACCAGCTTCCTTGATAAGTCTAAACAACTATCTATTGTTACATATCACCATAGTCTTTTCTGTCTCTTCAACCTCTGTTACCCACTACTGCTCATGATCATTGCGTAGACTTCTCAGCAACCTACATTTGAGATGCTTTTCCTCCTCGTTGCGTTTGAAGCCTTCATCAATGCTTTCATACAAGTCCATTATTTCTGAAGAAGCTGCTTAGATCCAATGACTCTTCCTAACCTCTTTCTGAGTCATTTACAGAATGTAAAGCTGTTTTAATGGCAGATTGAAGATGGTGCCAGCCTCCTTGATGAGTGGTGTCATATTCCGATAATTGTCTAGCCAGTTCCTGGCTGAAACAACCTTAGTATTCTCAATGTCACGTCTCGCTTGGGGTGGTCTTGTTGCTGTAGTTTCCTACATCCACGTAGACTTAGAAATCGGCGTGCTCGAACCAAGGCATG